TTTGGAACACATTCCTTTGACATTCTCCATGATAAACAGTCTTGGGCGATGACGCTGCACATATCTGATTGGCACCTTTATCAATTGGCCCCTGGGATCTTGGAGGCCTAGTTGCTTGCCTTGCGAGCTCCATGGTTGACACGGCGGAGTGGCGATGTACAGATCGACAGGAACTTCCTCTTCCTTCTTTCGACCCTCTGCATTATCGTAGAAATTCTTTGGCTGATGAAAGTGTAACAGAAGCTTTTTACAATGTTTGTCCGTGTCGCTACAAAAGCAAAGTTGCACCGGCAAGTGCGACAATCTCTGCAGAGCAAGAACAGCAGTGTCTAAGCCTGAGAAATCTGTCCCAACCTTGATGACTCGTGGGGTTCGGAGCGCAGTCATGCCAGACAATCGGGGCAGCTGTCAGCCGAAGCAGCTGTCAGCCCAAAGAGATGGCTTGAGCCAAAGATTCATGCAGGCAGTGTCACAAGTAAATCTCATGTCGTTACACAGTGTCTAGCAGCAACGGCAACAGGTAGTTTCTTTGTCGGCCTATCAATCAGGTTGCCGTGTGAAACACCCAAGTTGCTGTCAACCCATTTTCCCACCGCAGCCTCCCTGTGCGGAGGGGTCACCGACCTTTCACTTGCAGAAGGCCAGAGCAAGACGCGACTAAATCTGCACGCCGAAGACGGTGCAAAAAAGAATGAACGGTGTAAACATTTTTGTTTCCAGCAACCTGCGCAGTTCTTTCCTCTTCATGAATGACTGCGTACGCTTTGTACTTGGGGTACGACGATTGCTTTTGCAGCAATTGTTGCAGTGTACAATTTGGTCTCATTCTGTGAAGCTGCCAGCCATGCCGAGCCGGAAGCATTTCTCGAAACGCTCGCCAAAAGTCTTGGTGTTTCTGAGCGCAGGCAGCGCTGACCAGAACCACTTTGCGCGCAGAAGCAGCGCGTTGATATTTCAAAGCACAGCCGTCGCCAGACAGGAAAAAATTTGGTGAAATTTCAAAGAGGCCCCTCAGGCCGACAAGAATTTGCAAGGGAGCCGCCAAGCCTTCACCTGGTTTGTCGCAGACAATGGCAAGCGCGTCAGACGCTTGCGATGTCAACTGCAGTCTATGGTTGGCAAGAGCTGCTGTCAATGACATGTTGGCCGAAGCAGCCACAAAAGCTTTGGAGCCAGCTACCTGTTGGAGCACCGCGTCCCTGTCTTTGCCCTTTGTGAGTTTCATTGCTCGGGACACTTGTTTTCGTTTTTGCATTTGTCTGTTCACAAACTTGGCCGAAGCAGCCTCCACATTTCTTCGGTCTTGAGCAGTTGCATCTGGAAAAGATTCTTCAGCCACAGCCTGAATCCGCCTGCTTAGCTGTTTCTTTTCAAAAAAGACTATCTCCTTGCGATGGCCTTCTTGGAAGTAATTTGCGTCGATTTGCTCTGTGGCCCCTGAGCATGCTTCAGCGGCCGCAGCAGCCGCTGAGCGACGTCTCTTCAGGAAAGCAGTCTCAGTCAGAGCTTTGTCTTCCGCTGGCCGCTTCATTCCTTTGTCAGCTCGGAATTTGCCCTGCGCATGTTCACGTGGGCAACCATACTGCGCTGCCCAACACACGCGGGCAAGCTTGCAAATTTCCTGCTTCTCCTCTTTGGTTTGATGTGGCAAATCAAAAAAGAGCTTCAAGACCAATTCTTCGTTTCCAGGCTTTGCGTGATGTCGTTGCTTGGTGTAGCGGCTTTGGCCCAAGCTGAAATTCTGTTCAATGCCCGATGTGCTTGGCGTGCAGCAAAAGTAGTTCTGCAAAGCCACACTTAAAGCATCTGCTGGATGAGAACTGGACCTTTTACATGAGTACCTCTCCAAAGTAATTTTCCAAGCGTCTTTGTTGGCTTTCTGTGACAAATGGTGGCTGTTGGTCAGCACGCCAAGCTGCTCTTTGTATTCCAACTGCGCCCGGGGATACAAGTCCTGCCATTGAGCCTTCAGCCTGGCAAAGTCCAATTTGTACGTATGAGCCAGTGTTCTCAATTGCGCATCTGTGCTTCCTGCAACAATCCCCCTCAAGTTGAAAACTTCAAAGGCCTGGGCGATTTCAAAAGGAGGAAATTCTGCTTCAATGGCCGTAGCAGCCAGTACCACCCATGCTTGCATTCGACCCAAACATTTTTTCACTGTTGCGATGTCAACGCCTGCGCAGCACCCCAGAGTCCTCAATTCTTGCGCAACTTGGAAAACAATGGGAGACTTCAGCAGGTTCAATACAGTCGAAGTAAAGCCAAAAGCAGTGGTGCAGCGACCTTCAACAAACAGGCTTCGTATTTCACACAAGTATCGCCGCAATTCTCCTTTCAGCTGCGCTGGGTCCACATTCTCAGAGTCCAGCGAGCGAGTTAACGCCAGGCTTGAGTCGGCCGCATCAGCCAGCATCGCGGCCTGCAACACCCTTTCTTCTGAAATCCAAAGTAGCCATTGGTTGGCCGTTTTGGCTGAGCCATCAGTGCGTGTTTTGGTGATATGGAGAGCTGTTTTCACGCACGCATGAAAGAACAGACATGTTCGCCCAAGAGGACGCGCGTGTGATTCAAATCGATGCCCTGCCGCACGAAAGGAAGACAGGACAGACGCTAAGGTGGTCTCAGAAGTGCGACAGTGTTCAGCAAAAATCCTTTTGATTTCAATGGAGTTGTTGATGAGTTTGGCAATCGATCTGGGTCCTCGGCACATGTAGTTCATCACCTCCTGTAGATTGCCATCTGCATTCCAGGGTCTGCTTGTCAACCTTCTGCTGGCATGAGCTCTGTCTCTGAAGACATGCTGCAGGTTCGGAAGCATGGGCTGGTTGTCTGGGGCCAGACTTAGGGTTGCTGAGCGCAAAATTTCAGCGCTTGCCATTTCATCCGATGCCGAGTCTGCACACAGGGCGACTATTTTGGACCGCATGTGTTGAAACAAAGCTTTCTTCAAATGTCCGGGGTTCCTGCCCAAAGGTGCCAAAACAAATCTGGAACAAGCGCGCTTCATCACTTGCCATGTGGCCAACGACAAATTGTCACCACCAGTTCCAGCCTGCCTTGCTTGGCCTAAGAAGCCAGAGCGGGTTGACAGGTCTGGAGCTACAGCTCTGAATCGAATAGCTAGACGCCCATGCCGTTCATCACGCATCAGCGCCACCTGCGAAGCTTTTGATATGAACTTTTGATCTAAAGCCCTCAAGCCTTCTGCCAGGCACCATGCCATTTGTAGCTCCTTCTGCGACAACGCTGTCTTTTTTGAGAAGGCGTCCATGAACTCTTCAAATTGGCACAATGAAGGCGCTGCGCTTGGGTTAGGGCCAACGCAGCCACCTTCCTTCAGCCAAACTTTCACAGCAGCTTTGTGAGCTTTGCTTTCCTGATGTTTCTGCATATTTATTTTCTGCAATTGGGCAACATTGGTAATCGCAAATGAAGCCCAAGGACTTGAGATCTTAGCTGCACAGCACGCTTTGCAACCTATACCCCAAGGTTGCCGCTGCACGTCCAGCCAAGACCCCAAGTGTGGCTGATCTGCTGAGATCAAAAAGGTTGGGCGCCACTTGAAGCTCAGCGAAGCCCATTTCGACATGGCACCCATGTCACAAGGCATTGCCGAAGCAGCACTGGCCGAAGCAGCCATATGTCAGCCACTATCAGTTAAACCAAAACAGCCGGCGTCAGAAACGAGATTTTCAAATACCTTCTTAAGCCCATAGAATAGCAACACTTTATGGCGCACGAGACATGAGGGGGCAAGCCACTACCACACTGCTCACCCAAAGTTTGACTAGCAACTCATTATCCCAAGGAATTTATGAGACACCACCATTTGAACATTTCAAACATGCTATCCTGGGGGACTTATGTACTAAACGCACTATAGTTGAAAGTTGGTCATCACCACATTCACTCCACTCACACGAATTTTGGAAATATCTTTTTAACCAGACATATACACAAGGAAATATCTCCAAGGCCAAAAAAAAATAAAAATACTACAATACCACTAAGTGAAAGCAAGTATTTTATTCCATTGTTGTACTCATGCCTTTCATGCTCTGCCGGGCTCCGGGTTCCTGCTAGCGCCTATGGTCTGTGCTAGATTTTGTAACGTTT